GATGGATGGATGAGTGGCCAAGTGTGTGAATGAATGGGTGGTCTAGTTGCAGCCTGGCTCAAGAGTAACCCCTTCTTAAAGATAGTTTCTAAATCTCTGAAATGTGGGGCCCTGGCGCCCTCCAGAGGCCAAAGACTCTAACTACTAAAGCCTTGGGCACCAATAGTCTTGAGAAAGCTAAAGGTTCTGGGAAACAAAAAAATCTAGAGACCACTGCTGTTTCTGCCCTTGACTCTGTGACCTTGGAAAAGTTCAACCTTCTGAGGTTCAATGTTCTCATGTGGAAATGGTGTTAATCAAATCTGATGTTCACATTGCTAAGAGATTTAAGACGAATTATTTGTAAAGCCTCTGAGCACATGAAAGGTGCTCACTGAGTGTGATTTTCTTCCCAAAGGCAGCTCTGGGCACACTCGCACACACATACACACATGTGCACACACACACTGAACATCCATCCAGCACAATAGGGAACAGAGGCAATGAGACCATAGACTAGGCCAGACCAAAAGAAGCAGATGGGGACACATTTATTCTCCAGGGGTTTCTTGCTCTGGCAGGACTGGCCCAGCCACAGGGGCCAAGAACTCAGGGAGTAGGTGCTCCAGTGAGGGTCCTAAGGGTTCCTGGAGTTCAGCCTCTTGGTCCTGGGCCATCTGGGACGTGTGCTCGAAGGCAGCCTGCAGCAGGTGGGAGGCCAGGCAGGTGATCCAGGTGACAAGGTAGGCCAGGTGCCAGGAGGTGAGCGCCATTGTGCTCTCCACCCACCAGTACAGACGCCTCAGCAGCATCAAGAGCTCCTGCACCGCCTGGTTCTCCTGCAAGGCCTGGAGCAGAGATGTGGCAGGCAGGTGGCCCCCAGGAGCTCACAGGGCTGCACAGCACAGCCCTGCTGTCACGCCCAGTGCCCCGGTCTACCCCAGCCCACCCACCTTGCTGGGCAGCCAGCGCTGGACCTTCTGGCACAGCCTCCAGGTCAGCAGCAGCAGCAGCAGGGCCACCAGCATCAGGCCGTGCAGACACGACAGGAGCAGGTCCGTCCAGATGGCCACAGATAGGCCTAGCTGCTCCCAGGCACCTAGCAGGGCCAGGCCCCAGGCCCAGGCACAGCCCAGCACACCTGCCCATACCAGCCTGGATCCCCGCAGCACCAGCCACACAGGAACCTGCACCAGGACCAGCCCAGCTCGGATAGCCCGGCCCAGGGGGCAGGCTGTGTTTCCTGGGGCTAGGTGGGCCTGCCTGCTGATCGACCCCTGGGCCTCCTGCGCCAACCCCAATACCCAGTGGTTGAAGAGGACGATCTTGAGGAGCAGGAAATTGTAGAGGTGAACCCGATTCTGGACCAACTGCAGGAGGAGGAAGAGAAGATCATCACCCGTGGTCACCTACCTGGGGCATGAGTCCAACTTTTGCTATGGAGGTGGAGCTGCTGGTTCACCATGTGACAGGTCCTCACCCTCTCAAGGCCTCAGTTCCCCGCCACCCAAGGATGATCTTTGTCCACTTTTAAGGACTCCTCTCTGAGGAGGGAGCTTTAGGAAGTGTTTCATACTATATGTGGGCTCCTGTCTGTTGGATTTAAATGATTATTTATAATACTACAGGCTGCAGGAGGTTGAATTATTATTATTATCATTATATAAGGAGCCACATTTTTTTTTTTTTGAGACAGAGTCTCACTATGTTACCCTTGGTAGAATGCTGTGGTGTCACAGCTCATAGCAACCTCAAACTCTCGGGCTTAAGTGATTCTCTTGCCTCCGCCTCCCAAGAACCTGAGACTACAGGTGCCCATCACAATGCCTGGCTAATTTTTGTTGCAGTGGTCATTGTTGTTTAGTAGGCCTAGGCCAGGTTCGAACTTGCCAGCCTTGGTGTATGTGACCAGTGCCCTAACCATTGAGCCAGGAGCTGAGCCAGGAGCTACTACCCTTCTTCCCACACCATGCAGGACTTGAAGCCAGGTCAATTGGGCTAGGCTGTACACGAGTCACCTCCTGGCATCATGAGACCAGCCGGGGGCAAAGGGTGGTGCCACTGGGGTAGGGAGATATGAGAGGGGAGAGATATGGGGAGGGGTGACAAAATGGTCCTACTGAGAAAGGTGAAGGAGGGGGGTTTCCAATTTCTGATCTGGTGAGAGGTTGACCAAGCATATCTCCCATGCGCTGAAATAGAGCACACAGAGTAGGGGTGGGATAGGGAGAGAGCTGTGCTGGAGTCCTGGAGCCAAACCACCCTACCAATCTGAGCTGCCCCCAGGCAGGTGTCCACAGGCCCACACGGCTTGGATCCTGGAGCCTCTTAGGAACTGTGGTGGGAGGCAGCCCTCTGGGATTGGCTGGTGCCCACTCATGAGCTGGATTAACACAGCCAAGGGGTTGCAGGTACTAAGGGAAAGAAAATGACCAAGGGGTCCAGGGAGGAGAAGAATTTGGGTGAAGTAAGGAAATAAGATCTCCCAGACTATAATGCCAAGACCAGGGAGGAGGGAAATCTATTATGTTCCACACAATCCCACAAGGTCAGTCTTATAAGAGAGGAAACAGAGGCTCAGAGAAGTGAAGTAATTTGCCCAAAGTCACACAACTAGAGAGTGGAACAACTGTGTGTGTCTCTCCCCCTTCTAAGTCACAGTAGTAGACTGAGGGGACTCTCTCTCCACAACTTAGCCCACTGAAGGGTTGTGATGGGGAGATGTGGCCCTAACTGCAAGCATGCACATATTTTAAAAAGATGGATGGGGGGGGTGGTACAGTGGCTTACACCTGTAATCCTAGCACTCTTGGAGGCCAAGGTGGGAGGATCCCTTGAGCTCAGGAGTTTAAGACCAGCCTGAGTAAGAATGAGACTCTATCCCTACTAAAAATAGAAAAATTAGCCAGGCATTATGGCACACGCCTGTAGTCCCAACTACTTGGGAGGCTGAGGCAGGAGGATCACTTGAACCTTGAGGAGATTGAGATTGCTGTTAGCTAGGTTGACTCATAGCTCTATAACCTGGGGCCACAGAGGAAAATTCTGTCTCAAAAAACAAACAAAGAAAGATGAATGGGAAGGATGATGCTTAACCCCTAGGAATAACCCTCTACAGAGAAAATTCTGGAACTATAGGTTTGGAGGTGGGGCTTATGGGAGCTGTCAGATTATCCCCAAAGGCAGGCAGGCATTCACCTAGTTCCACTGGGCGGGACAGGTAAGGCTTCGGTCCAGCAGCTCAGAGGCAGCTGTGAAGGGCCTGGTATGTGGTCCCTGCCCCACAGCCCCTAGCCCTACTTACCAGCACTGACAGCCTCATGACCTGTAGCAGAATCCCCCAGAGGCTGGATCTGACTGGAGGGGTGGCCTCCATGTCTGACCTCCCTCCTGTCCTTCAGCTGGGAGAAGATGAGTGACCTCACAGATGCCACAGAGTGGGGGCCAAGTTACCATGGGGACCCAGTTGTCACAAATGGCCCCCATTTAGCTGACATCTGCCCCTCCTTTGTTCCCTCTGAGACCTCAGGCCAGTCTGGCCACATCACAGTCATGGGGGTCTTCTGGCCTCAGGTTAGTTTCCCCAGGAGGTCCTATCCCAATAATTCAAGTGCAAAGAGTTTATTTGGGGAATAGTTACTGCAAGTATTCATAGGAAAGTAAGAAAGTAAGGCAGACTTTCACTTGGAACTCAGTCTGACAGAAGACCCCTGGAAAATGTGCAGAACACAACTCAGATCCACCCCCCACTTAAGGATTATGAAAACTAGGGTGTCAGCTGGACACAGTGGCTGATGCCTATAATCCTACTACTTTGGGAGGCTAAGGAAGGAGAATCACTTAAGGCCAGGAGTTTGAGACCAGCCTGGATAACAGCAAGACCTCATCTCTATGAGAAAATAGAAACATAAGCCAGGCACAGTGGTACACACTAGTACTCAGGAAGCTAAGGCAAGAGGATCAAGCCCAGGAGTTTGAGGTTATAGTAAGTTATGATGATGCCACTGGACTCTAGCCAGGATGACAAAGTGAGACCCTGTCT